GACGCATGTTTCCACTGCATGCTGTCTCGCTTTGTCTCTGGCTCGTAGCGATAGTACCAGGTCTCATCCACTGTGACGATCCGCTTCATGAAAGCGGGGTCTTCCTGTTACCGAAACAGATGTTGCAGTGCTAGTCCCATACGCAGTTTCTTTTACTGGTCGATGAGCTGCTTCGGAACCCAAGCGGAACACACCTTCCGAAATCGCAACCTGTCCTGAACAATTGTCCACATGGTTCCATAGCTGACATCCACCTTCAGCGCCAACATTCGCAATGTGACGTGCCGATCACTTCTCACTAGGTCGTCCACCTTGTCGATGAAATTGCTCGTGATGACAGTGTTTGTCTGTCCTGGTCTCTGGTCATCACCCACACTCTCACGGCCTGCACGAAAACGAGCACTCCATTTTCTGTGACAGACTTTTCAGAGACACATCTCTCCCCGTAAACGGTCACCATCTGCCGATGAATAGCTGCCGGTTTCTCACCTTCCGCTGTCAGAAATCGGATAAAACTTCGCTGCTCCTCAATCGTCGAATTTTGCAACGTGAACGCCATCCTGTCCTCATACGGACTGCCGTATCATTTGGAAGCCGCTTTTTATAAGAGCCTTTGCTCTCTCCTGCGCATGCGGGCGCCCGGGCATGATACGATCCCAGTCAGAGCCTCCAATGGCATCCCGAGATGTCTCGCTACATTCTCCCATGGCGGAATATGCAAATATTTAACTGTTTCATTTTTATGTCGTTTCGTACCTTTTCATTTGATCACCCCTTGTATTATTAAAGGTTTATCTTGACATCTTTATTTCAATTCATAATAAATGAATATAAGAGTTCAGGGGTACATCATCAAAAAAAAAAGTATTTGAATTTTTAACTCATATTTTGAAATTAGTTGATTCATATTTTATTAATGTTTAAATTAACCAACCAGTATATATTTCTATTTTTATTTGCTTATATTTCAGATAAATTTTCATACGGTAATATTTTTTAACGATACTAATAAATTTAAATAAAATTACTTGTCTAAATATTCAGTTTCTTCAACATTTCAAGCACACGGCTTATAACTGAAAAGAATAATAAAGAACTGAAACCGAAATTCAGATGCAAGGAGATTAAATACCTTTTTATAGTTTTAACAGCTTATTATACTGGTCTTAAGCACTTTTATTCCCAAAAGAAAACCTTCAACTATTTTCTTTGTTTGCCGAACGATTTCTTTTTACTAAGACACTCGAGAATAGTTCTAATCACCATTTAAATAGTCCTCAGTTTGAATATTTAAAGAAGCTTTAGGTTGATCTTCTTTGGAAATTGTTCCGGTGGAAACCTAATATAGAAATTTTTAGTTCTTCCCTTGAGAGAAAACCACCTTATCCTTTTTAAATAATCATTTCTTTATTTCAGATTCAATCCTTTCTTTATTTTTTCTTTATAATTTCTTTTCTTCCTTTGGTTCCGTTTTTCCATTTATTTTCTTTAAGCAATTGAGTTTTTTTTTATGTAGAATCTTCTCATAATTCTTTTTATCGTAGCTTTTTTTCAATTCTATCTCTATAAACCTATATATATATATATATATATATATATATAGTAATATAAAATAAAAGTGAAGAAGTACTAAAACCTACAGTGCTACAGTGCTAAAGCAGGAAGAAATTGGAATTCACCAGACACAACAAATGTAGATACAAAAAAGTCTTTGGACTAAACTGGAGACCTATTATGATTTCTAAAGCTGTCACTGAATTTGGCCAGCGAATTAGGGTTAGCAATGCTTTATGGATCCAACCTTCTCTGTACAGCACAAACTTTCGACATAATAGGGAAAAAAATAAGGTTGAAAAGTTAAGCCTAATACAACACGTGGAAGAAAAACCTGATAATATATTAAAATGAAGCTAAGAAAAGAGAACAATAATAAATGTCTCAATGTTAAACGGTAGTCGGTGGTGGTTTACTTGGATTGTTGATATATTGTTCAAAGAAACATCTTCTGAATTAGCGTTAAATTTTTATTCACACACATATATACATAACTAGTCAAACACATTTGTAACTGGACAATCAGATCCGGCTGGATAGCGTAGTTGTTTTGTCGCTGGCCATCTGCCTCTAAGTTTGCGGGTTCGACCCTGGCCCAAGTCGGTAGATTTCCGTGATGCCAAAAATCAACAGCGTTTATGTCATATGATTATGCGGCAAGTAAAAAATCCCTTGAGTGTCAGTTTGGCTTGGGTGCCCCCAGAAAAATTTAATTCTTACGTACATTTTCACATCTTTAAAGCTCAGGTGCCTTCCTCTGGGGAGGATTGAATATTAACGTCGCACTGTTCCTCTGGGGAGGAAACTGGGCGTCAAAATTACCTACAGCAATTGGTATCACCTATATGGAGCCGCACTAAAAAAATATACCAGCTCCTGAGGAATGAACTAGGTCTTCAAAGGTAAAAATACTAATCCGCAGCCCCATTAGGAAAAAAAGATTAGTGTTTCACAATTAACTGGTACAAACACGCAAACAGACCCAAGCGACATAGCGAAGCAAGTGGTCGTTGTTGTATGGTGAAGACAAACAGACAGAGAGAAAGGAACATAGAAGTCTCGCTATTTATATGAGGAGGAAAATGTCACGTGACTTTTTCCAACAGAAGCCATAATTGGTCAGAAACTATCGGGTGGTATTTTCTGAGGTAATCCTACTATTCGATTGCAATTTAATCCCGATTTTGAGGGTAAGCCAGTTAAAATACAAAATATAAATTTCTGGATGTTCTTGAATTTATCAATATTGTGTGTAGTTAAATTATTATTTCTCATCAAAAAATTTAAAATTATATTTCTAAATATTGA